GGAAAGAGAAAGCCTTTGCCAACCTAAGTGATATATGGCTCCAGGTTTAAAGATGTTTCAACTTGTTGATGTCGTTCATTTGTTCCTAATTTATCATCATGATTCAAGTGCCTACAAATTGTTTCTTTTCAACTGGTATATACGGTCTACGCAAGTGAAGATGATGAAGCGGTGGCGCCGAACAAATGCGGGACTTGTTGTCGTTGCCACGTCAACTACGAGGACAGCAACAGCAACAGGGAAAGCAACCACAACGATTGGAAACAATCACAGCAATCACAGCAACTACAACAATAACAACCACAACAACAAGAACCATAACGACCACAACAACAACAACAACAATAGCCACAACAACCACAGCAACCACAACAACTACCGCAACAACAACCACGACAACTACTTGCGCATATAGAACAGCACTCCGAACGGCGAACGTTTAAGGCAGATATATAACAGAAAAGAGAAAGCCTTTGCCGACCTAACTGATATATATGGCTCCAGGTTTGAAAAATGTTTCATTTTTTATTGTCGTTCATTTGTTCCGAAATTAGGATGAAATTCAAATGCCTACAAATTGTTTCTTTTCAACTGGTATATACGGTCTACGCAAGTGAAGATGATGAAGCGTTAGCGCCGAACAAATGCGGGACTTGTCGTCGTTGCCACGTCAACTACGAGGACAGCAACAGCAACAGGGAAAGCAACCACAACGATTAAAAACAATCACAGCAATCACAGCAACTACAACAATAACAACCACAACAACAAGAACCATAACGACCACAACAACAACAACAACAACAACAACAACAATAGCCACAACAACCACAGCAACCACAACAACTACCGCAACAACAACCACGACAACTACTTGCGCATATAGAACAGCACTCCAAACGGCGAACGTTTAAGGCAGATATATAACAGAAAAGAGAAAGCCTTTGCCGACCTAACTGATATATATGGCTCCAGGTTTAAAGATGTTTCATTCCCCACAACTTTGTGTGGGGTTCTTGTTTTTGATTCTGTATCCCGGGCTCCTTCTCCTTCTCCTCCTCCCGCCGCCTCCCTTTCACACTGTCACATACCATAACTTCACACACATAAATTTAACATACAATACTTTCACACACGCAAACTTAACATACAATAACTTCACACAGTCACATACCATAACTTCACACACATAAATTTAACATACCATCACTTCACACACACAAACTTAACATACAATACTTTCACACACACAAACTTAACATACAATAACTTCACACACACTCACATACACACACACAACTTTGTCACATACCATCTCTCACATACAATAACTTCACACACACAAACTTATTAGCATACAATAATTTCACACACACTCACACACACACACACAACTGCGTGGCACTTGGTGACATCCACCTTCATTTCTCGTGGCAGGCGTGGCACTAACTCACATCTACCGTCGTTTTGCGAGGCAGGCGTGGCACAATCTGACATCCACGGTCGTTTTGCGTGGCAGGCGTGGCACTCATGGCACTCGGTGGCGCTCTTGAGCCCGGTTTAGTCGCGCGTGACGCCGCGGCACTTTGCGCGGCAGGCGTGGCACTTGGTGGCATCCACCTTCGTTTCACGTGGCAGGCGTGGCACAATCTGACATCCACGGTCGTTTTGCGTGGCAGGCGTGGCACTTATGAACCGCTTGGGCCCGGTTTAGTCGCGCGTGACGCCGCGGCACTTTGCGTGGCAGGCGTGGCACTTGGTGACATTCACCTTCGTTTCACGTGGCAGGCGTGGCGCAATCTGACATCCACGGTCGTTTTGCGTGGCAGGCGTGGCACTCATGGCATTGGGTGGCGCGCTTGGGCCCGGTTTAGTCGCGCGTGACGCCGCGGCACTTTGCGTGGCAGGCGTGGCACTTGGTGACATCCACCTCCGTTTCACGTGGCAGGCGTGGCGCAATCTCACATCCACGGTCGTTTTGCGTGGCAGGCATGGCACTTGGTGACATCCACGTTCGTTTCAGGTGGCAGGCGTGGCACAATCTGACATCCACAGTCGTTTTGCGTGGCAGGCGTGGCACTTATGGCATTGGGTGGCGCGCTTGGGCCCGGTTTAGTCGCGCGTGACGCCGCGGCACTTTGGGTGGCAGGCGTGGCACTTGGTGACATCCACCTTCGTTTCACGTGGCAGGCGTGGCGCAGTCTGACATCCACGGTCGTTTTGCGTGGCAGGCGTGGCACTCATGGCACTGGGTGGCGCCCTTGGGCCCGGTTTAGTCGCGCGTGACGCCGCGGCACGTTGCGTGGCAGGCGTGGCACTTGGTGACATCCACGTTCGTTTCAGGTGGCAGGCGTGGCACTCATGGCACTGGGTGGTGCCCTTGGGCCCGGTTTAGTCGCGCGTGACGCCGCGGCACGTTGCGTGGCAGGCGTGGCACTTGGTGACATCCACGTTCGTTTCAGGTGGCAGGCGTGGCACAATCTGACATCCACGGTCGTTTTGCGTGGCAGGCGTGGCACTTATGGCATTGGGTGGCGCGCTTGGGCCCGGTTTAGTCGCGCGTGACGCCGCGGCACTTTGCGTGGCAGGCGCGGCGCAAACTCACATCTACCGTCGTTTTGTGTGGCAGGCGTGGCACAAACTCACATCTACCGTCGTTTTGCCTGGCAGGCGTGGCAGAGATGGCACTGGGTGGCGCGCTTGGAGGACAGGCGCGTGTCGCACGGCCCGACAATGAGTCAAGGAGTCTATGTCCTCGGGAGCCAGAGCTTTGACCCAATGTGGGAAGAAGCGTGTGCAGATGCCTGGCAAACCGACACCTATGTGAATGTTCGCGACTCCTGTGTGTTTCTGAACTTTGTGGTTGCTTGACATCTTTGGAAAAACCTGCACAGTTAGCGTCATAACCATGGTGCTTGCCACTGTGACTGTGTCGTGCCTTGACAGGCATGCGCTCTGTACTTGTCTTCCTTAGTTGCATTGACAACCAGCTACATTCGTGTTCTACACTTTTGCGGCCAGGTACCTTTCCTCTATGTCATCATCGCCGGATTCGTGGCTGTAGGACAGGCGCGGCCGTCACGTAGCACATCTCGTTGCACCGCATGGAGCACAGAAGATCATGGAACACCTCATTCAGCCCATTCCAGGTCCGCAGTGCTGCCGCATGCAGAGCAGCTGACATTGCAGCGCTGGCGAAAAAAATGGTCTGCACTGTCGCGCGCACACATCATCTTTCACACGCAGCATCTTTCACACGCAACTTTGTCACACATATACAACTACATACATACCTACCTACCTACCTACCTACCTACCTACCTACCTACCTACCTACCTACCTATACCTACCTACCTACCTACCTACCTACCGTTTTACCTTCTCGATCTTTCACCACCTCCTTTGTCTTTCCTTCCTTCCCTGTCCCCGCGAAAACCATTGAAGCTCATTATTGGGAGAAGCTGACTTGTGGGGTTATCCGGTCCTTTAATTTTTTGTTGTCGTTCATTTGTTCCTAATTTAGGATGATGATTCAAGTGCCTACAAATTGTTTCTTTTCAACTGGTATATACGGTCTACGCAAGTGAAGATGATGAAGCGTTAGCGCCGAACAAATGCGGGACTTGTCGTCGTTGCCACGTCAACTACGTGACAGCAACAGCAACATGGAAAACAACTACAACGATTGGCAGTAATCACTGCAAACACAACCAAACACCACCACCACCACAACAACAACGACGACGACGACGACCACAACAACCACAACACCCACAATAACCACAACAATACCACAACAACTACGGCAACAACTACGGCAACAACAACCACGACAACCACGACAACCACGACAACTACGACAACCAGGACAACCACGACAACCACGACAACCACGACAACCACGACAACCAGGACAACCACGACAACCACGACAACCACTCATATAGAACAGCACTCCGAACGGCGAAGGTTTCAGGCAGATATCAAGGCATGCGGCATAATCGCAACCACACAAAGGAACGCAGGGACACTTACGATGGAAACATATTCACAACAGCCCAGCGCACAGCCACACCGGCAAGAAACACAACAATCCAGCTGGAAGCAGCTGCAAAACCCAACAGCGCTAGCACTGATTTCCACGTAAAACATGGCGATTATGGCACGTTTTGTGGCCCTTGGTATGCCCTTGGTCAATCGCAGTGGCAATGATGTTCCAGTTCCGGCCATTTTGGGGTGTGATGCCATGATTTCTCCCTCTGAAGCGATCAGTTGCTTTGGGTTCCATCAAAAGCATGTGAACAATTACACCATTTTTCTGGCCTGGATTCCTGGATCTATTTTCGAATATTTTCGGAGTAGCTGACTGCCTGTAGGCCCGTATACGCGGCCTTGTTAGGGCCTTGTTATGGCACAACACAAGGCACAAACTCGAAAATTAACGCGTTCGGCCTGATGGCCAGGTTGGTCAGCTTGCTGGAAGCCCTCGCAACGTGTCGAGCGTTTAAGCACACCGTTGGCGCCACGTTCCCAAACTTTCGATTGGCATGACTGGCGCTTCTTGGCCCGTGTTCTCACACTGTTATATATGGTTTATATATCGCTTCCAAAATTTGAACCAAACGATTTGCTCGACATTCGCGCTGGCGATGAACGGGCCAAGAAAGACATTCAACAACATCGTGTTCAATTTCAATTGCCTTGACAAAATTGTGTGGTTGGACCCGTCTTACTCCCATTAACATCATGGCAAATTAAACCTTCGGGAGTGGTGGGTGTAATGCATATCATTTGGCTTAAAAGATTTCACCAGTAGCGAGACATGAGTTGAGCAAACGCAGTGCGGTCGCACAATGTTTTGCGTTTCTACTCTGTTACGAGTCGCCAAAAGATGAGCATCTGGCAAATTTAGACATGAATAGCCTCATGGAATTGAATGATGGACATATGCACCATCACACATGGCGGAAATGATTTGCAACACTGAAGTCGGTGGTGTCCTTCCTGCCTCCGCCATGCAGCAGCAGCCGCAAATGTTCACACCAGAGGAACTTTTTTGGTCACACCACCAGGCGCAGTTGGCTGCAGCTGGTTACGGCCCCCAGGTGATCTATAGCGACCTTTACGCGCAGCAGGCGCAACAGGTGCAGCCGGCGCAGCAGGCGCAGCACTTTATGTTCGAACAGCGGGCGATGCAAAGTTATGCCGCAGTGCCGCGGTTGCAGTTCAAATGTTGGGCGTGACAAAGGTACCCAGTATCTCAGGGATAAACAACAGGATGATGTTCCATTAATGCCGATGTTGGAGAATCATTGCATTACACTGCCCATCACAGCGTTAATTACTTGGTATGCACCTGTGGATTTTCGCAGTGAAAATGCATACATAATCACACCATATCATGCATCTATTTTTTGCTGGCAAAAGTTATTTTCCACAAGGTGCGGCAGGTGAGCGTATTGATTTTACATGATTTTATTGTGATTCCCATGTTAGTTCGTCCATTCGGTTTTGTTCTACATTGCATGCCTTGTTTTTTTCCCTAAGCATTGTGTCCATCTGGTTTCCGGCATTTTGCCCTGTAAATTTCTGCATGAAACGGGTTCTTGTGACATGGCCATGTGCATTTCGACTGCGCAGGCTCGCACAAAATCTGCCCCCGCGAGTTTTGTTTGCTCCTGGGGCGTGGCATTTTCCGTCAGCATTCTCGCATACAATCGTTTTGGTGCGATGTCAAAGTTTATTTCGAATGCGCGTGCTCGCACGAAAAAAAAGTTGTCGTGGCCTTGGGGCGTGGCATTTTCCCTGCAAATTTTCACGCAAAATTGTTCTTGTGAGATGTCCACGTGCATTTCGACGGCGCGGGCTTACAAAAGACGGTTGTCATGGTTGTTGGGCGCGGCATTTTCCTTGTAAATTCTCTCGTAACATTGCTCTTGTGCGATGTCCCAGTGCATTTCGATGACGCAATCTCGCACAACGCGATCCTGATGACATCCTCCAATCGATTTGTGGAGATGATTGTCACGTCCTTTCTCATACATGTCCTTGTGGCAAGATCTTGTGCAGATGGCAAGATCTTGTGCCGTTCCGGCTGTCATCCTCCGGCGCCTATCTTTATATGAAAAAATATTTTAAAAATCCACGGAAATCCTCTAAAAGGTCCTTGCGTGATCACTGCACAGATCCTTCTGCACGGATCTTGTGCGGATCCTCGTGAAGTCCCCCCTGCGGGGTCCTTGCATGATCCTCTACAGTTCCCTGTGCGAAGCTCTTGTCGGGATCCTGGTGACATTTTCGCTAAAAAGTCCTTGTTTGATCTATGACGAAATCTTCGGAAAATTCTGGTGCAGTCCCCTCTACGAGATCCATGCGTGATCTTGCGCATGTCCCCGTGAGATCTTGCAGAGATCCTGGGGCAGTCATCGCTAGGAAATTTTTGCGTGATCTTGCAAATGTGCTTGCATGATCTTGCACACATCTTTGTGGGAAGGTGTGTCCTCCTCAAAACGTCCTTGCGTTGAAATTTCCAGTATCCAGCATTGGAAATTTTCTTCAGTGGTGCTAATGTGGAAGTGTTTCTGCGATGTTCATGGAAGGATCTTGTCTGAAAATTTTGTGAGTTCCTCTATGTAGATCTATTTTATTGCCTGTTCCATAGCTGCTGTTGCTTGTATCTGGTACATGGACTTCCTACCCCCCACACTGTTTGTGGCCTCTTGCCGGCGTAATTGGAGCAGACGCAATGCTTCCGCGAGCCTCTTTTGCTTGGACTTTTCCATGTTTGGCATTTTCCGGCTGGGGAGAACAATTTTTGGCAGTACCGTCGCCGTCAGCAGCATCGTTCCAACAATGAAGTTTTGTAACACATGAGCCACGTTTTTAAACCTCCGTGTTTGTGTTTAGTATTGGGATCCTTGTAAGGATCTGTGGCGTAAGCAAAAAAAACTGTCAAAGATTAGCATGACCCTGCGCCATAGGCCAGGTACAAATATGACCCTGCGCAAGGATGACACAGCACGGCATGACATGAAACAACAAGCATCAACTTGATGCTGCATAATGGCTCGAAAGTGACACAACAGGTGCGTTGTGAAGTGTGAGATGGTAGCGGAGCCCCGGCCAGGGGCAATGATGCTACCGAAGGTGACACGCACAAATCGAGAAGTGCACCTCATAACCATGGCGATGGCGTTGGTGCTGCTGACGCCTTTGGTGAATGGTGCGCATGGCTTGGCGAAGAAGGAGCACTATATGGAAGATCATGCCAATGACCCCTACAGCATGGAGCACAACTCAAAGCAGAAGCGTGTGGGTTCCAGAGGTGAAAATTCAGTTGTGAAGGGCAATTTGAACCTTCAACCTGAACATGCTGAGGGAGCTGGAATGGCAGGCAACCGAACTGTCATGCATGGAGATGAGTTGGTTGGAGTTAGAGGTGGTGAGCTGGAACGCAGCAACGTGGTGACTGCGGCAATCAGCGCATGTGATAAGGCCCGAGGCCTGGGATGTGCAATCAATGCATATGAAATGGAATGTGCAGGTGAAGCCCATGATGGCCAATGCTTCTCCTGTGATGAGTCTCCTAAGGAGATTGGTGCTCAAGATGGACCAGCTGGACCAGCTGGGCAATTTGTGGTGTGTTTCGGTGGCGATGACTTTGGTTTGTCATCTGTGGCATTGCGGAACATGGATGACCACAACCTTGAGTATGTGAAAAAATAGGTGATGAAGAATGACACCCACGAGCCGAACAAGCATTTGCATTTGAGTTTGGTGAACTTCGTCTTCAAGATCTTCGAATGGTTGCACTACGTGATGATCTATGTCATCCACCGGATTCAGAACATCTACAACTTCCTGGCGAAGCACTATCAGCAGTACTTGTACGTGGCGATGGCTTTGGCTGCGCCGACGAAGGACTGCATGGGGCATGGTGACCTCATGTCGGTCAATAGTCTATGGTGTTGCTGGGCGCTGAGTTTGGTGTTGGTATGGATGTTGAGCCACTTGGGCTGTGCTTTGTTGTCACCCAAAAATCGTACACAGAAAAGGATGGTGAGACGGCAAAGAATTCAATGTCAATTTCAACTGAAAGAAAGCCTTTTTGCTAGCTGGGCAATGCACTGTCATGGAATGGAAGCCGGTGGAGAACAGGGAGAACATGCTATCCTTCAACGCATGACAATCCTAGCTGAAGCTGCAACCAATGCAGCAAGTGCAGCAGAGCGAGCCTTGAATACGATGGGAAGCTCTAGTTCCAGCAGTTCTGGTGGAGCACTGCAAACTGGTTTGTCTGCGGCCAGCAAAATTCTGAGGAATCCTGACCGATTCAGTGGGGAAGATACGCATGTTTTTTCTCCGTGGAAGTTTTCATTTGTTTCATAGCTTACCTTCGGTGATTCTCGATATCAAGCAGCATTCACAGAGATTGAGAAGATGAATCCAAATGATGAGATGAAACCATACAATCAAGAAGAACGTGAACTTTCAACCAAATTGTTTGCGATCCTCACCAGCTACCTCAAAGGAAGATGTTTGAGGTTGGTGAAATCTTTGTCAAAGAGCCATGATGGATTTCAACTTTTGGAGAGAGTTGCACAAAGAGTTTGAACCTTCAACACGCCAAAGGTTTCTTGCAACTGCATAGACACTTGCAAGCTATCCAGCATGTCCCAAAGACAAGTCAGTGCTTGAGAGCGTCTTAGCCTATGAGCAATTGGCCTCCCAGTTTGAAGAGCTCAGTGGGACCAGCTATCCTAGTGAATTGAAAGACAAGTGCTCAGACGCAAAACTTCGTGAACATCTTCAACCCACCATTCAAGATACAACAACATATGCACAGCTGCGAGAAGTGGTATTGAACTATGGGAAAGCCTCCAAATCATGGATTGATGAAGCTGGTCTCAAATCCGTTCAGAATACGGCCGGTCATGATGATGGTGGACCGCGACCAATGGAGGTGGACCGCATTGAGGCAAAGGGCAAGAACAAAAGCAAGGGCAAAGGCAAGTACGGCAAAGGTTGGCCGAGTTTTGTTAGTAGTTTTTTGAACTATGGCCGTGGACGTGGCAACAATTTCAAAGGACGTGGACGTGGCAAAGGAAAAGGAAAGAGCAAAGGCAAAAACAAGGGCAAATCAAAGAATGGTGGAAAGCAGTCGAAAGGAAAGCAGAAAGGAAAAATTGATGCCCAACAATGTCGAATTTGTCACGAATATGGTCATTGGGCACGTGAATGTCCCAACAGAGTCAACCAAGTTGAGCAAGTTCCACGACAGAGTCAACAACAAATGCCGCTGCAACCTTCTCCAACCTCTACCATGAGAACAACCCTGTCTAACTCTTCTACCTCACCCTCTACCGTGCGCAGAATCTATAACATCCCAATGGGTATTCCTACTTTGATTTCATCTTCCTGATCTTCTGTGCGCATGGTTCGTGAAGGTGAATGTGAAAAACAACAGGACATTGTAATCCTGGATAGTGGATCTGATGTTTCTCTTTTACCTTTGAACTATGGTGGCAAGTCAGATTCAGGTGTAGATGCTAGCATTGTGCACTTGCGTGATTGTCAAGGGCAAAAGCTACAGGTGAATGGATACAGAAACGTTTCCTTGTTGGTGAATGACAGAGATGGAAGTGAAGCAGAAATTGAACATTGTTTTTTGATTGGTGATGTCAAGTCGTGCATTTTATATCATTTTATCACTGGAGCAGTTGTGCCAGAGTTGTTGGCATGTACGAAATGGTGAAGGCAATCCTGCGCTTGAAAGTTCAGATGGCACACTCCAGATCCCTGTCTTTTACCAGCGCAATTCCTTGGCGATCAATGCGACAGTGTGCAGAGTTGAAGAATTTGAACAAAAGGTTGAAGCAGATGAAGTACGAGCAGTTGTGGAATTGGAGGACCGGTTTCGTCTTGAGCAACCTCAAAACAATGTTTGGTCAGTTTCTGATGGCAATCCATACATAAGAACTGCGGGAACACATTTTGTGGATCCTCGACGTTAATTTCAAATACCGCACTACTTTCGTCCAGCAAGTTTCAAAAAGCAGAAGAAAACCACCATGGTTGGATAGTGGCTGATGTTTCTCGAAACTACTTGGAGCTAGATGATGCATTTGGCCGCATTCCTGAAGTTGATGTTCAAGAAGAATCTTGCGTAACCCTCACAATTTTCTCTGAACGGAGTGACAACCATGAAAGT